AAAAAAAAAAAAAAAAAAAAAAAAAAAAGGGTGTTCTAGTAATGACCAAATCATGTGAGATAATGGGTGGAGACTAATAGGCCTGTAATGGGGGTACCCTAGTCATTGTTGCTGCACCCCGAGATATCCAGGCTTGTGTAGTGAATTCTCTGGACAGAGAAGGGACATCCCATGGTGCTTTTTCCTGGTTAAAATCGTCACCACATGTTTTAAAGACCTCAGATCCATCGATGAGCAAAGGCTCATGTTTGTGAAATGAAACATGAAATTATTTTTGTTTTTATTTACTTACTTTTTTTTTGAGTAGGGGTCTTGCTCTGTTGCCCAGGCTGGAGTGGCAGCAGTATGATTGTAACTGCAACCTTAAACTCCTGGGCTCCTTCCACCTCAGTAGCAGCCGGCTAATTAAACAAAAAAAATTTTTTTTTTTTAGAGATAGGGTCTCACTATGTTGCCCAGGCTGGTTTTGAACTCCTGGGCTCAAGGGATCCTCCTGCCTCAGCTTCCCAAAGAGGATTACAGGTGTGAGCCACCGTGCTAGCCTGAAATTAATTTTATTAATATATTTTATCCAGCATGTTACAACATGTGTTACTGAGCTGTTTCACACTCTTCTTTGTACTGAGCTCTGGACATCTGGTGGGCACTTGCACTCACAGCATCTCCCAGTTCTGGCTGGCCACATTCAGCTGCTCAGTAGGCCATGTGTCGGGGCTGGGACCGACTGGGGTGACTCCTGCCATCCTGCTGTGGCCCCTGCCGTCCAGCCCCCATGCTCATGTGTCCTGGTCTCTCTGGCCTGCAGGGGAAGGAGGTGATCGAACATTACCTGAACGAGCTCATCTCCCAGGGCACCTCACACATTCCTCGCTGGATGCCGGCCCCGGTCCGTGAGGAGAACGGCCACAGTCAGACCTGGCCAGAGGACCCTAGCTCCCGGGAGGCTGATGGGACCAGTGGTGCCCCGGACCCTGTGCTGGAGACTGCTGGTACAGATGGTAGGTCGTGGCAGTCAGCCCCGGGGAGCCTACCCCTGGAAGAGGCGTCAGGGAGCGCTGCTCAGGTTCTCTCGGGGACGGGTCTGGGTCTTGGAATGACTCCCTTGCCGGTTGCCTCTCCCTCTCTTCAACCCAGCCAAGAGCAGCCCTGGTTTATTTCTTGATCAGGAACTGACTTCTGCTGCCTTTTTCTCTGGCTTTATGAGTCTTTTAAATTACATAAGTCATGCGTGATCATGGTAGGAAAAGATCAAACTGCTTGGAAGTTGTCAAGTCAAAGGAAGATTCCTTCCCTCTCCCCTGAGCCTATAATAGTTTTGTGTTTGTATTTCCTGAAGCTGTCTAGGTGTATATATGTACAACATTATGCACACATGTGTGTCTTATGTTGAACAAATGAGAGCATATTATACACTGCATATTATATTTTTCTTTTTTCCCACTTACTAATGCTTAAACAACTTTCTGTATCAATGCAGGAGTCTTTTCAGACTTCATAATATGGTGTGGTTGCCACCATAACTTATTTATTAATAAACATTTATCATTTATTGATTTGGTGGGGTGGGCAGGGTCTTGCTCTGTTGCCCACGCTGAAGTGAAGTGGCACGATCATTTGCTCACTGCAGCCTCGACCTCCTGGGCTCAAGCAATCCTCCTGCTTCAGCCTCCCTTGTATGCATGGCCCCACACCTGGCTAATCTATTTTCCTTCCTTCCTTTCCTTCCTTTCTTTTTCTTTCCTTTTCTTTCCTTCTCTTTTCTTCTTTCTTTCCCTCTCTCCCTCCCTTCCTTCCTTTCTCTTGTTACATTGCTCAGGCTGGTCTCAAACTCCTGGCCTTAAACAATCCTCCTGCCTCAGCCTCCTAAAGTGTTGGGATTGCAGGCATGAGCCACTGTACTTGGCATTGATTATTTTTAATTAGTCTATTTAGCTAGTTCTCTATTGATGGACTTAAGTTGTTTCCATTTTTTAGCATACAAATAATGTGGTACATCTTTGTACTTAAGAATTTTTTAAAGTATATGTGAATAAAATTTAAAAGTGGAATCGCTGGATCAAAGGTTATGTGCAATTGAGATGCTGGTAGATTTACCAGTTAGGCCTCCCAAGAGGTTGTAATAATCATGTTTCCACTGATAATGTGTAACCGTGTCTGTACCTGACCTCACCCAGTTCCCCACAGGACCAGTAAACCGTTCACTTCTGAAAGACAGTAAGAATAATCACTGGTAGGTTAGTGATCAGCTCCTTCATGCTGAGTGAGGGCAGGTGTTATTTGTTCATGATTAGTAGGTCTTTGTTTTCCTTTTTTTTTTTTTTTATTACTCTGTCCTTGTCCTCTGTCCATTTTCTTCTTTGCCCATTGATTTCTTATTGGTTTGTAAGAGCTCTTTGTGTGTGTGTGTGTGTATTTTTTTTTTTTTTTTTGAGTTGGAGTCTCACTCTGTCGCCTAGGCTGGAGTGCAGTGGCATGCTCACGGCCATCACAGCCATGACCTGCTGGTCTCAGGCAATCCTTCCACCTCAACCTTCCAAGTAGCTGGAACTACAGGCACGTGCTACCACGCTCAGCTTATTATTTATTTATTTATTGTAGAGATGTAGTCTCAACCAAGTTGCCCAGGCTGGTCTCAAACCCCTGAGCTCAGGTAGTCCTTCACCTCAGCCTCCCAAAGTGCTGGAATTACAGGCTTGAGCCACTGGGCTTGACAGTTAGTTTTTGTCATAGTTCATACTTTAATTGACATGGAAGATGAACACAATACCATATTAAAGGAAAAAAAAAAAACCCCTAGGATACAAACTGCATATACACCATGAACCCAGTTCTAACCATGTGCAAGACATGTACCTACACTGGATTCAGTTTTTCCTTTAGGGCCATCAGAGTGCAGGGACTTGCCTGACTCTGACACACTTGGGTGGCAGCATCGTGTAACTAATAATGCATATGGGGTTGTGTTTAGGGAGAACAGAATTCACTCCTGCACAAGCATTTATTCTGCACCGACTGTATGTGCTGGCTGCTGTTGCACGTGCATGTTTTTTCCCCAGGACCAGTGTTTTTCCTCTGGCCCTTCCCTGTGCCTGCTCTCTGTGGCCTTGTCCCTTGCACTGTCTCTGTTTTGCGTGGTTCTTTTCTCCCTTCTCCATCTGGGCCAGCCACCGGCAGGGCTGCCCTGAGGGTGGCTGGTGGGAGGCATCACCGTGCCCCCTCCTCCCCGTTCTGAGTCACTGAGGCTTTGTGTTCAGAAGTAGAAAAGAGCCTTCACATCTGCCTGGAGGCCAGAAGGAGGGAGGCCGGAAGCTCCTGCTTCCCTCGCATTTCTGCTCCTGTTCTGTCCCTCCCAACACCTCCGCCTTGCATCTCAGCCAGGAGGCCGGCCAGGCCAGCCTCTGCCACCCTGATGGTCAAGAGTCGGGCACCGGGACTCAGCTTGGCCTCTGCACACTGGTGCTGTGTTGGCTCCAAGCAGCCCAACTGTGGGAGACCAGCTTATACGGTGGGAATGACCCCTGAGGATCCTCGAAGCAGGCCGCATGGCTATGTTTCAGGGTCCTGGCTCTGTCTACTCTAAGCCTCACTTCCCACAGAGGGGGTGGGGGAAGCAAAGGGAACTGGTGTTTATTGACAGGTTCCATGCTGGGCACAGGACACGCTTTTACTATTCAGCTTACTCCATCTCTCCCAGCCTCAGTTTTGCCTTCTGTAAAGTAGGGATGATCGGGACGCCTGCCTCACAGGTTTGGGAGGGCTCCCCGTGCCCAGATGTGCTATGTCAGTAACCTTCAGAACAGCCCCAGGTGGCAGACTTGTCTTCATTTCTGAAAGTCAGAGAGGAAACACCACACTTCACAGAGAGATCCCGGCTTGCCCAGCAGGGGTTTCCAGAACCCACCTTGGAAGCGGGTTGGAAAAGTGAATGCGCCTGGATTCTGCAACTGTTGGCGGGGAGGGGCCACCTCCTGCCTGGGACCGTGTCTCATGGCCGGGCAGCCAGGGAGGAAGAAAGGGCAGACACAGGTCAGGACGCAGCCCCTCCCTCCTGTCCTGAAGTCCCCCTTCCTCCTCCCAGGGGACAAGCTGGACGAAGACTACATGGAGAGGTGCCTGGGCCACCTCACACCCATACAGAAGAGCTGCCTGATCCAGCTCCGGCGCTGGTTACGGGAGACCCATAGAGGCAAGGTGGGTGCGGGCGGCCCCAAGCTGTGGATGTGCAGCCAGGGACAAGGCTCAGCCTCAGGCCTGGGTGGAGTGAGCAAGAGGATCCATCTGTGGTGAGCAGTATCGAAAAGCCACACCTTGTGACCTTTTTATTCTACACTGTCCCATGTGTCCATCATGCCCGCTGTGCACACCATGGGTAGTGGTCTTCTCATCCTTGGGCATTTGGAGCTACTAGACAGCTCTTTTTTTCTTTTTTAAAATAGCCTGATCAGGTCACTAAGGCAAAATATCCAGAGAAAAATGTCAGAGAGGAGACATGAAGTTGAAAGAGCCATTGTTTCATCTTTTTTAAATTTAAATTTTTTTTTTTTGGAGTCAGAGTCTCACTCTGTCATCCAGACTGGAGTGCAGTGGCACGCTCACAGCCACTGCAGCCTTTACCTGCTGGGCTCAGGCAATCCTTCCATCTCAGCCTTCCAAGTAGCTGGAACAACAGACATGCACCACCACACCTGGCTAAGTTTTTTGACTTATTGTAGAAACGAGGTCTTGCCAAATTGTCCAGGCTGATCTCAAACCCGTGGGCTCAGGCAATTATCTTACCTCTGCCTCCCAAAGTACTAGGATTAGAGGCATGAGCCAACACCTCTGGCTTCATTTTTATTTTTTTTTATAGATGGGGTCTTGTTCTGTTGCTCAGACTAAAGTGCAGTGGCTTGATCATAGCTCACTGAAGCCTCCAACTGCAGTGATCCTCCTACCTCAGCTTCCAAGCAGCTGGAACAACAGGGGTGTGCCATCACGCCTGGGAGATTTTGGACAGTTCTTTATGGTGGGGGCCGTCCTTCGCACTGAAGGATGCTGAACAGCGTCCCTGGCTTCTACCCACTAGACAGTACTCCCCCTGGTTATGGTAACCAAAAACGGCTCCTGACACTGCCACAAGTCCCCTGGGGGGCATGTGTACCCTCAGTTGAGAACCATGGCTATATAAGACCATGGTCGTGAAGCCATGAATACTATTATTTTCTAACAGATTTAATGATCTTGTGAGGGTCATTTTTGACTGCACATGGATTTTGCCTTTAGCCTCTAACTCCTGTCCAGCGGCTGTGATTCATGCCTGTAATCTCAGCCCCTTGGGAAGCCAAGGTGGGAGGAAGGATCACTTGAGGTCAGAAGTTTGAGACCAGCCCGGACAACATAATGAAACCCCCCTATCTCTACCAAAATAATAATAAATAATAAAATAGATGCTCACTTCCGTAACAGGTGTACACTGTACACGTAGGTCCCAGGCATGGACTTGACCTCCAGTTCTGTTGAACAAGGGCTTCTTGCTGAGTCATGAGTTATTTCCCTTCCCTCCCCATGTTGGGGCAGACAAGGGAGTTCCTTTAGTGTTGGGCTGTGGTTTAACCTGTTTGCTTCTGTTTGTTCATCTGTAAAACGGGGACAACGTCAGTCTATACCTCCTGGAGCGCACGGCAGTGTTAACTCATGAAAACTGTTCAGATGGTGCCCGGCTCCACGTGAGTGGCTCTTCCTGGCTGCTTTTGGGTGACTGATGCACCGGGAGGTGGTAAGGAGGAGCAGCTCCCAGAAGGAAAGACCCTGTTCCCGGCCCAAGAGGGAGGAATGTCAGGCGGCTGAAATGCACAGACATTCCCTGCTGTCCACCCCTTGGTTGGCCATCTGCTGTGTCATTGAGGGAGAACACAGTCCCTTTCTCAGCAAAATGTTTTGCAGCCAGGTGCAGTGGCTCACACCTGACATCCCAGCACTTTAGGAGGGCGAGGTGAGAGGATCGCTTAGGCCCAGGAGTTCAAGACCAGCCCGGGCAACATAACAAGACATTGTCTCTACACATAATACAAAAATTAGCTGAACATGGTGGTGCATGCCTGTAGTCCCAGCTACTCAGGAGGCTGAGGCAGAAGGATCGCCTGAGCCCAGCAGGTCGAGGCTGCTGTGAGCCGTGAGTGTGCCACTGCACTCCAGCCTGGGCAACAGAGGGAGATCCTGATGCAAAAAAACAATGAATGAGTGAACTTAAAAACTGTTTTGCAGATGAGCTAGGAGGCTCGTCCAGTGTACTGACCTGCGGGGCCGGTGGATGCTCTTTCTTTGCCCTCAGATTCCCAAGGATGAGCACATCCTCCGGTTCCTGCGGGCCCGTGACTTCCACGTGGACAAGGCACGTGACATGCTGTGCCGGTCCCTGAGCTGGCGGAAGCAGCACCAGGTGGATGGCCTCCCTCAGACCTGGCGGCCCCCGGCCGTGCTGGAGGAGTTCTATGCGGGGGGCTGGCACTACCAGGACATCGGTGGGTGCCTCTGCCTGCATGATGTTGAGGCCATGCCTTGGCCACGGCCGCATGCTCTGTCTGTGATGCGCCTCATGCTGACGCCTCGGGGTTTCTTGTGTTGATCCTCCCAGGGCCCTGCTCTCAGTGGCAGCCTAGCTGGGGAGGAGGCAGAACTGGGATGGACTTGCAGGCAGACACCTCTCCATGGGGCTGGGTGGTCCTGTGACTCAGGACCGTCGAGATGAATAATGCAATGACCATGTCAGTTTCATGTGCATATCCTAGGGCTGCCATTACAGATTGCCACGTGTTTGGTGGCTTAGGACAACAGACGTTTATTTGTTTTATTTGAGTCTGGGTCTCACTCTGTAGCCCAGGCTGGAGGGCAGTGGCATGATCACAGCTCATGGCAGTCTCGACCTCCAGGGCTCAGGCGATCCTTCTGCCTCAGCCTCATGAATAGTTGGAACTGTAGGTGTGCACCACCATGCCTGGCTAATTTTTTTATTTAGGTAGCGATGGGGTCTCACTGTGTGGCCCAGGCTGGTCTCAGACTCCTGGGCTAAAGCAGTCCTCCTGCCTTGGCCTCCCAAAGTGCTGGGATTGCAGCCGTGAGTCACTGTGTCTGGCCCTATGTCAGCTCTTTATAAGGTAAATAAGTGTTCTTTCTGTGACCTGTTTAGTGCCACATTTTTGTGCTTTTTGGTGGTGATGTTGCTATTTAAAATGGCCCCTAGTGTAGTGCCCAAGTGCTGCCTTGTGGAGAAAACACCTTTACTCACTCCCTGGGTCCAGGCTGGAGCTGTGGTGCTTTTGGCTGTGGGCTCAGTGTTGATGAATCAGCAATAAATGCTAAACTGTCCTTACACAGAAACACACAAAACACGGTTATGCATTGATCCGTTAACAAAGACATTATGACCAGAGACTCATGGGAAACTTACTGCCTACTTCCTAGAAACAGTGGTTCAGTGTTTGTAATTCAGTGTTTGTGGTGACTTTATAGAATGTAACTGTCATGAACAAAGAGGACTGACCGAGTGTATTAGTAAATGATTCTCATGTTTCCTTTTTGCTTTGGCTGACGGAATGCTACATTATTCCGTTCTTTCTGTGGTTTAGATATTTTTTACTTTTTTTATTTTTTGAGTCAGGGTCCCACTCTGTCACCCAGGCTGGAGTGCAGTGGCACAATCCCAGCTCACTGCAGCCTTGACCTCCTGGGCTCAAGTGATCCTCCCTCCTTATCCTCCTGGGTAGCTAGGACTACAGGCACACACCACCACACCAGACTAAGTTTTTCATTTTTTTGGTACAGGCGAGGTCTTGCTATGTTGCCCAGGAGCCTGGCTATTTCAAGCATTTTTAAATGAAATGTTTATTTTACAACAGTTTTAGATTGACAGAAAGGTTGCCAGGATGGCACAGAGAGTCCCCACATGCCCCTGGCCTGGTCTTCTGCGGACAGCTTCCTCTCCTTGCCTTACCCATCCACTGTTTCTGCCTTTCTTTGTGCTTTTTTTGAGTTAGAGTCTCACTCTGTCGCCCAGGCTGGAGTGCAGTGGTACACTCACGGCCACTGCAAGCTCAACCTGCTGGGCTCAGGCGATCCTTCTGCCTCAGCCTTCCGAGTAGCTGGAACTACAGGAATGCACCAGCATGCCTGGCTAATTTTTTAATTTATTGGTCTTGCCAAGTTGCCCAGGCTGTTCTCGAGTCCATGGGCTCAGGCAACCCTCGCGCCTCGGCCTCCCAAAGTCCTGGGATTATAGGCGTCAGCTGCTGCGCCTGGCCCGCTGCCTTTCTTAAGTGGCGTGGGCCCCTCTGGGATTCTGGCAGGGCGTTGGTCAGTGACTGGAGGGGTCGTGCTTATGGGAACAGGCAGAGGAGGTGTCCCCTGCAGTCTGGACCTCTGGGCAGTCCCCTCACCACAGTCTCTTCTGCTTGCCTGGCCCTCCGCACAAAGACGGCCGCCCCCTCTACATCCTCCGCCTGGGCCAGATGGACACCAAGGGCCTGATGAAGGCCGTGGGGGAGGAGGCGCTGCTGCGGCACGTGAGTCGGGCGACCCGGGAGGGCTGCCTGGGGGCGGCAGCGCGGGGTGACGGGGCCAGCGCCGTCTTTCCCTTCCAGGTGCTCTCTGTCAACGAGGAGGGACAGAGGAGGTGCGAGGGCAACACAAGGCTGTTCCGCCGTCCCATCAGGTAAGACCCGGGGCCGCGCGCATCCCCGCTCCCCTCGGGAGAGAAACCGGCGTCCACTGCGCATGTGCGCTGCGCCAGGCCGGGGCGAGGGCACCGGTCGCCGTCTTTCGCCCATCCTCCCCGCGGCTGCCTGAGGCAGGGCCTGTAGTCGTCTCGCGGTTTTATGGATGGCGGGAGCGAGGCGCAGAGGGGTCCGATGCCCATCCAATCTTGCTAAGCTGGTCAGGGAAGAGCAGGATTTGAACCTGGTACTGGCTGGCTTCAGGCAGGAAGACTTTATTCCTCCTTCTCTCATGACAGCCTCCTTGACTTGGCCCTTGTTTCCCTCCCTCCCTCCCTCCTTCCTTCCTATCATTTATTTATTTATTTGAGATGGGGTCTTGCTATGTTGCCCAGGCTGGTGTCAAACTTAAGGGCCTCAAATGATCCTCCCGCCTTGGCCTCCCAAAGTGCTGGAATTATAGGTGTGAGCCACTGCACCTGGCCTGACTTTGCCTTTTGACACCAGCTTGCCCACTCTATCCAATCTCCTGTACTATGGCACATCCACGAACCCATTGTTCTTCTCTGATGCCTCCAAATTTCTGTTCCTGAGCTGAGTTTCCCAGAGCCAGTGCTTACAGTGGCATGGCCCCAAATGCAATGAGCCTCTCTGAGTAGTAGCCTTCCTCTTCTGTAAAGTGGGCTCTTTTTTGAGACAAGGTCTCACTCTGTCACCCAGGCTGGAGAGCAGCGGCACAGTCATAGCTCACTGCAGCCTCTACCTCCTGCGCCCAAGTGATCTTTCTGCCTCAGCTTCCTGAGTAGCTGGGACTACATGTGTGCACCACTACACCTGGCTAATCGTTAATTTTTTTTGTAGAGATGGGGACTCACTATGTTGCCCAGGTTGATCTTGCACTCCCAGCCTTTTGCGTCATCCTCCCAAAGTGCTGGGATTACAGGTGGGAGGCACCACAACCAGCTTGTAAAGTGGGTTTTTAAAATGGATTATCAAAATGAGTAACGAATACACAATTAAAGCAGAACGGATATAGCAGGTGCCCTTCTGAGCTCCTTGACTCATGTGGTCCTCTTAACAGGCCTATGAGACAGGGACAACAGGGACCGCTGCTTAAGCTTTTAATTCCCACATACTCAGAGCTTGGTGAAAATTCAGTTCTTTTGCTGTTTGGGGATTTCTTCAGGAGACACATGTAGGGGTGGGGGTGGGGAGTCAATCCATCAAGTTCCTGTCCAGAAGCAGACTTCTCCCCAGATGGTTCAGATGAGGGGGCGTCGTGAGGGACTCCTGACAGAGGTGTGTGCAGAAGGGAGTCTCCCAGGGCCAGCTTCTGCAGCCAAACACTCATTTTCCTAGTGAGTCAGTACTGATTACAAGGAGGCAAAGAGAGGCTGAGAACTTGGCCAGGGACACACAGCGAGCGGCAGAATGGGGATTTGAGCCTGGGCCATCAGACTGCAGCACGCATGCCCTTGGCGCCTGTGCTCTGCTCAGCAGTAGCGTCTTTTCAGCAACTCAGAGTCACAGCAAGCTTTAGCTGAGTGCCTGCTGTATACCTGTCCCACAGAAAGCTTTTTTTTTTTTTTTTTTGAGTTAGAGTCTCACTCTACCACCCAGACTGGAGTGCAGTGGCCGCTCCCGGCCACCGCAGCCTTGCCTGCTGGGCTCTGGCAATCCTTCTGCCTCAGCCTTCCAAATAGCTGGAACTACAGGCACGTGCTACCACGCCCGACTAGTTTATTTATTTATTTATTTATATTTATTTTTTATTTTTTTGAGTTGGAGTCTCACTCTGTCACCCAGACTGGAGTGCAGTGGCCGCTCCCGGCCACCCCAGCCTCGACCTGCTGGGCTCTGGCGATCCTTCCGCTCAGCCTTCCAAGTAGCTGGAACTACAGGCATGCGCTACCATGCCCGGCTGATTTTTGATTTATTGTAGAGATGAGGTCTCGAACCCGCGGGCTCAGGCAATCCACTCACCTCTGGGCCCCATCAAGTCAGGATCCACGTGTGTCCTTCAGCCCCCTCTGCCCCAGCGCTGCCTCCTTGGGTCTCCCGATTCCAGGTCCCCAGGGTGGGTTTTGGGCTCCGGGGAGGTGGCAGAGCCGGGTGGAGCAGGGCGTCTCTGCCACAGCTCCTGGACCTGCTTGCTGGACCTGGACGGTCTCAACATGCGGCATCTGTGGCGGCCGGGGGTGAAGGCCCTCTTGCGGATGATCGAGGTGGTGGAGGACAACTACCCCGAGACCCTGGGCCGTCTGCTCATCGTGCGGGCCCCTCGGGTCTTCCCCGTGCTCTGGACGCTGGTGAGAGTCGGAGCCTGGGCTGGCTCCTCTGGTGGGGATGCTGGGATGGGAGGGGCTTCCTCTGCAGCTCCCCTGCCCCTCCTGCCCCATTGTTCTGTTTCATTTCTTTTCTTTCTTCCTTTTTTCTTTTTTTTTTTGAGTCAGGGTCTCACTCACTCTGTCACCCAGGCTGGAGTGCAATGGCACGCTCATGGCTCACCACAGCCTCCACCTCCTGGGCTCAGGCAATCTTTCCATCTTATTCTCCTTTGCACCTTAGCTGGGACTATAGGCGAGTGCTACCACACCTGGCTACTTTTTTTTTTTTTGAGTTGGAGTCTCACTCGGTCGCCCAGACTGGAGTGC